GTCTGTACTTACTCCAAAAAATATTTGTTCGTTCTTCTGACAGAGGAACATTCAATATTCTTTGCCAACATTATAAATTAAATGCATCAATTCTTTGGTCTTATTCATTGTCCAGCTTTCACATGGCATGTGAGGTGAATGAGGAAGGGAGGAAAATTTACATCCATTTGACACACTGGTTACCAAGCACTTTCATATACACTGATTGTCCCAAGGTCACATACCAAATCCTACATCCCACAAGCCTGCTTGAATGCACTCCCATCCATCTTGGGTCATTGCCAGAGGTGCTGTGCAGTCAGTTCCAACTCAGCGACCCTGTATAGGGTTTCCGAGGCTGTAAATATGGGAGCAGAAAGCCTCATCATTCTCCTGTGGAACAACTGGTAATTTCTAATTAACTGGCCTTGAGGTTAGTAGCCAGACCCATAATGACTAGAGTACCAGAGCTCCTTACTCAGTTCCAAAACTGCCAGTGAGTTCTGCTAGGAAGGATCAGAATGAGACTGAAAGGCAACTGAACAGTTGATCCAAAATCCCAAATTAAAGTTGTAACTATTTGCCTTCAGAAAAGGGCAGAAGGTAGTGGTGGAATAAACATTAAGGAAGACATTTCACTTTTCTTTCATTTTGTGTAGTATGCTTGTTTTATTTAATTCAAAACTGAATTTAAAGAAGATATTTTAACACAATATTTAAATAGTAATATAATGCAGTTAAAATGGAACAGGGACTTTTTAAGAAAGAGGAGAGAAGGTCCCCATTCAGATTTCTCTTTTGAAAAAGTAGGAGTGGTTATCATGCCCCAGATATCAAGGGATCTATCTGCTTTGGTAAAGATATACAGCCTCAGAAACCCTGTACAGGGTCGTTAAGAGTCTGAACTGACTCCACAGCACATAACAGCATCATTACTGAGGCTGCCTTCCCATACAAACGTGCCTCAGAACGGGGAGTAGGAGGAAGGCATGTCCACTAAGATCCTTGGACAGCTACTTCCAAAAAAATCAGACACTGAGAAGCAGAGGACACAAACTGTACATACAGGCAAAAAAAAAAAAAAAAGCTACAGACAAGAAGCAGATGAACACAAAGGGTGTGTTGATGCTTCTGGCTAACAGGTAAGTACAGAGCCCTGAGTAATAACCCTTTGTTTCAGGAAGGTAGTGCAAGCATTCCAGGTTTCGAACTTACAAGGATAATTCCTACTTGCCCTGTAACGTTATATAAATTTGGTCTCATTTCAAAAGAGGATGCCAACCAAGATCTCTCATGATTCTTGTATATTCCCATATATGTGAGGGATTTTTTGTATACGTATGTTCTTATGTACATATCTATTATATAAATTGGATGTGTGGTGATGTGGGTTAATGCGCTGGACTGCAAGGTCAGTTTGAACCACAAGGTCAGTGGGTTAAGCTTACCAGTCGCTTCTTGGAAACCCTATACAAGGTCGCTATCCGTCAGAACAGACTCAATGGCATTTCACAAGTATATAAATTACATATAAATGTGTGTATATTGAGTAAAGGGTCAGCAAAAAAGAGGAGGATCCCATACACAGGGATGGGCAACTTGGACATTGGCTACCCAAAATGGAGGGGGGTGGTTTACAAAGGCAAGAAGTAGACTGGCTTGCAAGCTTTCAAGAGGGAACCTAGATCCAGAGGGCGTAGAGGAAGGTAGAATCTCCACTGAGTAGTATCCAATCTGTCTAGGCAGGGCTGATGAAATGCGGATATGTCTCTTGTGATACAACAGCAAATAACTGTTATCAGGACTGATTGTGAGGGTTGTAAAGGTAGATGTTTGTAGCAAGGAGGGGAGTGATTAACTTTGCAGTCTAGGAGTGGAGGTCCTTGGGACCATGAAGGGAGAAGAGTGGAGAGCGGGACCCTACCCAGAGAAGCAGTGATGCCTGAGATGGAGGCAGAGACGACGTGGAGAGATGGAGCAGCTGGGGACTTTAGATCCAGAGAGGGAGAGGGGCTGTGTGCTGACAACTTGGGGGGGGGAGGGGAAGCTTGTAGTGTATACCCTTTGGTTGGTTGATGATGCATGGAGAGGATTGTAACCATGGCAATGAAACAATATACAATAGAATGAATGTAAAACTAATGTTCTCTCATGTAAACTATCACATAATTCACAATAAAGCATTAAAAAAAAAAAGGGGGGGGGACCCTCAACGACATGGGTTGAGACAGTGGCTACCACAATAGGCTAAACATGGCAATGATTTTAAGGATGGTGCCGGACCTAGCTGTTTTTCATTCTGCTGAGCATAAGTTAGGTTGATAGATCCTAACATTAAGTCCTGGTGTGGCGTTGTAGGATAAACACTGGACTGCTAGCCACAGGGCAGTGGTTTGAGCATACAGCCCAGCCGCTCCCTGGGAGAAAAATGAAGCTGTTTGCTCCTTAAAAATGTACAACCTCAGAACCAATCCAGGGTCACCATGAGTTGGAACAGACTCTAAGGCACTTAACGACATACACACACACACTGAGTACAGTGACTCAGGATAAAGCACTGGACTATGAACCACAGGGTTGGTGGTTTGAGTCCACCAACCCCTCTGTGGGAAGAAAATGCTGCTTTCTGTTCCAGTAAAGGTATACAGTCTCGGAAACTATCCAGGGATACTGAGTCAGAACAACTCAAAGGTGATTAGAGACAACATGTTTATATTCTTCAGTATACAAATCACCTAGGGATTGTGTTAAAAGTGTAAATTCCTGTTCAAAATATCTGGGATGGAAATGTGTTCAGCAGAGGGATCAAACCAGAATGAACCAGTATGAAGCCAGCTTTGAAAAGATGAACCAACACCTACTTGCAACAAATTCATTACAATAAGCTTCACTTGATGCAGATGCAGCTTAAAAATCATTGAGAAGGCTCTGAGCCTTTTCTTGCACTAAAATAAGGTTAAAGAACAACTGTATGCACCTGTTTCAACTCACCTACAAATTCTTAAAGATATATATAGTTAGGAATGGCTCTTGTTCCTCCTATCCTAGGGACTACCTGTATCAAATTTCAGAGGCAGTATATAAAGCCATGGAAAAGTCTCTGGAGGTTAGCTTCTTTGCAGAGAGCTCCAGACTCCTGGTTCTGAGGACGGGGTTTTCACCTTACTGAGCCTCTCTGTGCCTGGAGCTATGCACGCAGTGCCTTTTAGTCCAGCTGAGAATTATTGTAGGCAGTCCACATGGTCAGGTCCTAAATATCTAACCACCTAGAGTGGTAAGGTTTGCCAGCAGAACCAGGATAGGAGGGACCACCAGGCCAAGAAAATAGGCTATAGCAGTTCAAGTGAAACAGGCTCTGAACCAGTGCTGCTGAGTCAATTCTGATACATAGCGACCCTACTAAGTTTGAGAAGCAGCTAGTGGGTTCAAATCGCCAGCCTTGTGGCTAGCAGCACAGTGCTTATCCAATAGCACCACAACAGGAATCCATGTAAGGAGGTAGGATATCCTCTCCATCTTGGTCACATATCCACACCCTTGGGAGGGGAGAAGAGAAATGAAATCAACCCTCAAATATTAAGTGCCATCGAATCAGTTCCAGCTCATATTGACTCTGCATCGGGTTTCTAAGGAGCAGCTAGTGGATTTGACCCGCTGACCTTGTGGTTCACAGTCTAGTGCTGACCCTACCGCGCTGCACCAGGATTTCTCAAATGCTACTAGAGTTGCCTGATCTCACGTGGCTCTAAAGCCACACATTTTTAAAAGCCACACATTTTTATTTGGATCAGTAACACAACAGGGAGCTTCCAAAGGGTGAAAGTGGGGGGACTGAGGTCCTATAAAACTGTTCTGGGCTCCAGACGCGAGGCCCAGACGTGAGGGTTACAGACCTAAGGTCTACATGGTCTGTCCCGCAAGTCAGTTTGTGGAATAAGCAGGTAAGGAAACCTGTGGCTCTGCCTCCAAACCTAGCCAAGACGCCGGGAATGGCCCTGGGCTACCCTGTGAGTGGTGGACAGGGCCACATAAACCACACTAACACTTGACTGGTACCCGCATGTCCTTGGGCTACCAACTAGGTCACTTGGGTCTACCTAGGAACGTGTGCTGAGTGGCGATGGCGAGTCATATTTATAACCTTGGAAACCCTATAGCTGTTGTACTCTGTCCTATAAATAGGGTCCTTATGAGTTCCATTCGACTCAACAAGGAGGAAGAGATCCCGGGAAGGGAGGGAAAGGCAAGTACTTAAGGCCACTCCCCAGGTGGCACCCAGTTAGCGATTATCGGAGGTGGGCAGCAGCTATGCACTCTAGCGGGACAGGCTGTGTGCAGTCTAGGCTAATTAATGGCTTGGGCTGTGCACGGATTACGTCTCATCCGATTAAAGCCTAGGTCGTTCATTTCGCTCCCACGCCCTACACCCGCCCTCACACTGCTAACGACCGCCGCACCCGTGGGGACCTAACAACTCCCTAACGCACAGCACCTTCCTAGCCCCGGGCTCTAGACAAGAGTTGCGCTCTGGGTACCGCTAGTTTCCACAGCCGGGCTCGGGTTCTCACGCCCCTATAGCCTGCCGAGCCCCGCCGGAGCCTGCGGGTGTCTGGGCCTTGACGTCCCCGCCTCCATCCACGCCGCAAGGCGGGTGGGCTCCTCGCGAGGGGGAGGGTCCGCGCAGCCCCTGCACGGGGAGGGCGGGGCAGAGCCCCGCCCCACAGGCCTTCCGCCAGTGCACCTGTGGGCAAACGCCACGCGCGGCGCTGTGCGCCTGCCGCTGCGCCACTCTGCGTCCGTTTGTCTCCGGGTCTCGGGCAGGGGGTCTGTCTGTCCCCTCGGCGGGCAAACGAAGCGGGTCCCGCGTCAGTGCTACGTGCGGCGGGCGGGGCGGGGGCGGTTCCTCGCGCTGCCCAACGCTGGCTGAAGCGGCCGCAACGCGGGGCGGGAGGCGCGGCACTGGGCGAGCCGAGGGCGCAACCAGCCAGGCGGACCGCGGGTAGCGGTCGGGGCGCCGCGCCATGGGCCTAGCCTGGGGCCCGGGCCGGGGGCCGCCGCCACTGCTGCTGTTTCTGGGAGCCACGCTGGTGTTCGCCACTGGAGCCGCGCCGGGTAGGTACCCACCCGAACCTGGGGGGCCCTCGAGACCGACTGCCGGGCTGGGGTCTCACTGTCTTCGTGGGTCGGCGGAGTCCATGAACCTTTGTCAGGGGGCGGAGGGAGCGCGTGGACTGCGGTCGGAGAGGGGGATGGGGCGCACAAGAAGTGGGGGGCATGAAGGGAGGTAGCGCCGCGGGGGCGGCACCAGCCCCGGCTGCAGACAGCGGTGCGGGATGGGGGCGGGGTCTGAAAGTGGGCGTGGTCTGATGGTGAGACTTCGGGGCGGGGCCTGAAGGTGGGGGCGGGCTTTGAGGGGGAGTAAGATTTCCGCTTGGGACTTGAGCTGACACCTGCCCTGGCCAGACCTTTCAAGCTTCAGGTCGAGTGGGGAGCCTTAACTGGGAAATGTTGAACCGGGTGTATTCCTAGGCCTGAGAAAGCAGACCCAGGGACTGGGCTGAAAGGTTGGGGGTGTGCCCTTGGGATGCCTTGAGGCAGCTGCGGAAAGCTGGTCTAGGTCAGGGAGGGCGACCTGTGGCTGCGGTGGGACCCAAGGCCTTGAGCCCTTTGCCCTGACGTCCCGCCCCTCGCCCTTCCGCCTGCAGCGCGTGAAGGGGGCAGCGCAGTCGAGGCAGAGGAACCGGTAAAGAGCGCCCTGGCATGGGAGCAGCGCGCCAACGGCACGCAGGAGGGGACCGGCCTGCCAGTGACTGAAGACGAGGCCGCGTGGACTGCGCCCACTGACGACCTGACCGCTGCACGCTCGGGGGTCGGGCCTGAGGAGGCTCTAGAAGCATCAGTCGCCGTGACAGGTGCCGCTTGGCTGGAGACAGACAGCCCCAGCCTAGACGGAGTGACAGCTGAAGTGGGCAGTGGAGATGCCCAGCCCCTTCCGGCCACACTCCCAGCTCCTGATGAGGCCCTTGAGCGGTCATCAATACCCTCTGCCACCCTTGAGGCTAGCGGACCACCCTCCCCCACCCCTGGTAACAAGCCAAGCCCAGGCCCTGAACTCCCCAAGGAGAGCCCCTTGGAGGTTTGGCTGAACCTAGGAGGCAGTTCACCTGGCTCTCATGGACCAGAGCCCACATACCCTTTTCAGGGCACAGTGGAGCCCCAGCCAGCCTCAGATATAATTGACATTGACTACTTCGAAGGATTGGATGGAGAGGGCCGTGGTGCCGACCTGGGAAGTTTCCCAGGGCCACTAGGAACCTCAGAGCACCACCCCGACACTGACACTGGGGTAGAGACCCCTTCATGGAGCTTACTTGACTTATATGATGACTTTACCCCCTTTGATGAATCTGATTTTTACCCCACCACCTCATTCTATGACGACTTAGATGACGAGGAGGAGGAAGAAGACGATGACAAGGATGCAGTGGGAGGTGGTGACCTGGAAGATGAAAGTGTCCTTTTGGTGCCTACCAAGAAGCCTGGCCTGGGTCCAGGGGCAGGCCAGCCCACTAGTCGGTGGCATGCTATCCCCCCACATCACACTCTGGGGATAGTCCCTGGCAGCAGTATTGCCCTAAGGCCCCGCCCTGGGGAGCCAGGCAGGGACCTGGCCCTAGGCGAGAATGGCACTCAGTGTCGCAGTGGCTTTGTTCGACATAACAGTTCCTGCCGGTCAGTGTGCGACCTCTTCCCAAGTTACTGTCATAATGGCGGCCAGTGTTATCTGGTGGAGAACATAGGGGCCTTCTGCAGGTAAGGGTGTGGCAAACTCAGCTAAGAGAGAACTGTGACAGGCACGACTTCCGAAAGGTTAGGGTTCTCAGGTCAAGAAATGGTCACTCAGATCTTTTTTACAAATTTGCTTTGTAAAGGAATCTTAAAATGATTCCTGTAATCTCACCACTAGGAGAGGTTTCTTAGTAATAAGATTTTATATTTTCTGTAAGTTTTGTGTCCTTTACCAAACCACTAAACTGTAAAGGCAAAATGAAAGCACTTTAGGGTTTTGGAAAGAGACTTTTGCAAGGTTTGAGTTTTTTTGGTGGAGTCTGACTGGACTTGCACAAAGAGGATAGGCCTGTAACCGTCCTCTAGCAGGAAAGATTGCTGCTGAATACTCCAGTCATGTGTATGGCAGGAGGAGGCCGTAGTCTCCAGGAGTGGAATGTGTAGGAGGTGGGTGGACTTCCACATTGGGAGCAGACCCAGAAGCCTCTCAAACAGGCAAAATTAAGCTGAGAGTCTTTCCTGTTGCCATAGATACAGTAGAGTTTCTTAACATCAGGTGATGGCTTTTTCTCTCTATCTTAAGACTTATCTTCCTTGGGATATCCAAACCATAATATATTCAAAGATCCAGAGAGCTCAGTCTCCATAAGAATTTTGTCTGCATCTGTCATCTCATGCCTCATGAGGGAATTCACCTTAATTCGTGGGGACTCCCCTCACAACAGGGTATTTCTATCCTCTACTGGCCCTAGGAGTGAACTAGAACCCTAACAGTCCTCTTTTTCCACTGGTCCTAGCATGAACACTTCTGTTACCTGGGTATCTTTTGATGTTGCTATTCTTTGTCATAGTCTATTTTGGAGGCATGTCAATAATTCAAATTCTAATAGAATAAATATAGACAGCAATGAATGATGAACTCTTGGCATAGAAACTTGACTTTGCTTAGTTTTTTTTCATAAATGGTCATTACATTAGAATCCCTAATAAAGAGTGTGAACACCCTTTCTGGTTGGGGTCATCTAGCCATTGTCAAGAGGATGGAGACTGATCAAGAAATTATGGCAACAAGAACCTTACCAGTTGGTTAAGGGCTTTCAGAAATATAGGAGAACCCCATGATTTTGCTTTGCAAACTTCAGCTTGGGGTACTATCGTGATGATTTCAGCCTGGGCACTAAGGAATCTTTGTCCAATTATTATCTCTAATCCTGTTGGTGGTCTGGAGTTTTCTCCTTCAAAGTGAGCTTCCCGTGAGAGTATGAAATACAGAGCCCTTGGCTGCCTTTGGACTTCCCAGAGCCTCCAAGTTCCCAAGTGGAAGAGGAAGGTTGTCCTCCTTATTAAACTACATGACTTTTGCTGATAAATCCACCAGTATGCCACTGACTCAGAAAGACTTCTCAATCTCAAGTCTACTCCATTTCCCCTTGCTCACCTTCCACCCCAGGATCACACATAGTCCTCCCTACCAGAGATTCCTCTTCTGGCTGAGTACTCTTAGTCATGGCTAAAGAACTGTTTTGCATTCCACTCACAGGAGACTGCTGAGCCTTTAGTTGCAGACTGCAGCATGCCTTTGTCTCTGTCACTCTGACCCATTGCAGGAAAACGATCAGAGCTACGGCAGAACTTCTCTAGAACAGTGTGTTAGAGGTCCCCTCTTAGAGGAAGATACATACCCTGGTATCCTCACATGTGACTGCAGAGATTCATTTTCAAAAGAAAGAGGAATTTCTTATTAGCGAAATCACCCACCCAGTTCTGGATGTAGAGTAGCCAATTCTCCCATGCATAATTTCCCCATTCTGGACCCCTTTCTCTTGTCTGTCATTCATCCTGAAGTTCGTGTCCTCCCTCCCTTGCCTGCCTCTGTATCCTTCCACATCTTTTCCTCTTTGAAGCAGCCTGGTTCCCATGGAAACAGCAATGTCATTGGAAGAGTTGGAGCCTGGGAATGTCCCCAAGGGCAGAGGAAAGTCACTCAACAACAGGACTAAAACCCACTCCGAGGGGTGATTCTTACTCTGCTTGCATGACCACTCTCTTAGAATGGAATACGGAGCTCTAGAGGCAATTCTTCAGGGGCTGCAGAGGTAGAAGGAGAATATATATCCATCTTTATGTTTGTCCTTATCTGCCACTTCCTTATTTTTCAGTGGCTGGTTAGCCACATGATCTAGATAGGACTGCACAGCAACAGATAGCTTTTCATGTGCAGAGTGGTTCTTAGTATTTTGTAGCCATCACTCCTATTCGTCTTGATTTTTGTCTCTCTTTGACCCAGAGCAGTGGGTAGGGAGGGGCCTGAGAGAATCCTGTGATTATCCTCATTGAAATTGAAATTAAAGGTCAGGATTCCCTTCATCTTTGGCCACTTAATGGTCCTGTAACTTCAGTTGCTTCACTTATATCATGGACCTCCAGGCTATCTGGTCTGCTTCATAGGGTGATTAAAAGATGTGGTAAGTATATGAATTATCAGGTCTTTATAGATATGGAACATTATAGTCCCTCTGGATTTCCTGGTGTGGCACTGTAGGATCAGCACTGGACTCTGAACCACAAGGTCGACAGTTCAAACCTACCAGGTGCTCCTTGGAAACCATGAGTCAGAACTGACTCAATGACACTTAACAACAAAGAGATTTGTCTTAGAAACAGGCTACTGAGATAATTATTGGGGTCTTGGGACAGGTCCTGGCTGTGGCTGTGGTTGTTGGTTCCATTGCCTCAGTCTCCCCCTGTCCCTGCTGCAGGTGCAACACGCAGGACTACATCTGGCACAAGGGAATGCGCTGTGAATCCATCATTACTGACTTCCAGGTGATGTGCGTGGCCATTGGCTCAGCTGCCCTTGTGCTTCTCCTGCTCTTCATGATGACAGTGTTCTTTGCCAAGAAGCTCTATCTGCTCAAGACAGAGAATACCAAGCTGCGTAGGACCAAGTAAGTCACCCAGCCTCACGTGATGGGAGGCACCCCAAGCCCTGACTACACTGTACCTTCCATCTGATGCAGGATGGAAGATGTGTAAAAAAGAGGTAGCCAGCTTGTAGCATTGCCAGGCCTTAGTTCCCAAGCAAGTTACTGTGTGTGTTCAGCTGCAGTGCCATCACCTCCCAGAGCCTGCACAGGCTTCCTTGGGCTCTGACCAGGCTAGTATGAAGAGTCCACTCACAAATCGGTGTGAAGAAACTCCAGCTACCACACAACCTGGTGTCATCTCAGTACCAACTCCTCCTCAATGAGTGCAGATGAGAAACAGTTTGGCACCATAAAGCATTACTTTGTGAAAGATTGCAAACCCCTGGTCCAAATAGAAGTGCAAGAAACTTAAGGAAATTCTTGAGTAGAATTCGGTGAACGCACTAGGGTTAACTGTCTACACTAGGGATTTTAAGTGTTTAGTTTAGTTCTTTCCTTGGCATAGCAGTGACTATTGGTGTGTACATGGGAATCAACGTGTGTTTACCCCTTAAGCCTGTGCCTTGAATACTCAAACCTAAGTGAGTCACTCTTAACAGTAGCAAAAAATTTTAAAACAAACCTTTTGAAATGTCACAATGATCACAAAAGAAGTTTGGAGCTTAGCTTCCTTGGGTGCAAGAGATAATTTATGTGGGGTTGCTCCCTTCCGACCTGTTACCTCACTCCTCTCCTCCCCATGACCTGAGACTCCCTCCAGAGAATGACTGAAGGACTTTCCCTGGTTCCTGGGAAAAGGACAAAACACCATCTGTTGCTCCTTTGCTGGGTAGCTGCATGCAACGTGCAGATGCCAGTAGTTTTTGCAGCCTTTCAGCTAACTGTCAAGGGGCTCGAAGGGCCCCTCCATTGTGTCTGTGCATTGAGGCGGAGTCCATAGCTGCATGTGATTGCTTCAGAGAGACACAAGCCTGGACCCTACACCAAAGGGGTAGGCAACTAGGGATGTTCAGAGAGGAGGGAGCCATGGCCACCTAACTCAGGACAGCTGCTGATGAAGACAGAAAGGAGGAGATAGAAGAGCAGATGTAAGGGAATAGAAAAACAAGAGTTGTGGCCAGAGACAGGTCCTCATCACAGGCCATCCTCCTCTAACCAGCTGTATGTTTTGCGCAGAGCATGGCTTCTGTGCCCCTTCACTTGAAATACCACCTCCTTTGCTTCTCTGTGAAGACTGGATTTCTTTCCTGAGCCAGGTTAATAATGCTCTGCACATTAGTGCTGCATCTACTCCATGCACTGCCGATACTTCTGGAATTTATTGATTCTAATATGAACATTTTCTTCACATACTAACAACTCTGAAATTAGATTCTCTCCTACTGTTGCTGGCATCGTATAGTTGCTGTTGGCCAGACAACAGTCACAATGTAATTGTAATTGCCTAGCATGCACAAACATGGTCATTACTGTTCATATCGTTCAGTTCTTTATCTGAGGTCTAAATTAGCTGCTTCACTAATAAAAATAAAAATTCTAGATGCTAAGAAAATATTGGTTCATTTAAATGGCGAAAGTTGTTTTTGTTTTCCCGTAATGGTTCATCTTAGTCCGTAACATTTGATGAAATCCAGTCTGAAAGGCAGTACTACTATTGTTATGCTTTGCCTTGATCTCCTGACTTACATTTTCCCTCCTCCCTTCTCTGCTCATCAGCAGATTCCGGACCCCATCTGAGCTCCACAACGACAACTTCTCCCTGTCCACCATTGCGGAGGGCTCTCATCCAAATGTAAGGAGACTTGGCGACACTCCTCCTACCTCCTCCCCTATGCCCAAGCCTTGGCTCACTGTGGTCAGTTTATTTCTCCTTTGTGCTTCAGTTCCCTCCCATGTCTTTGGTCTGTTTTAGAGTGTATGGCTTCATTAGAACTCTAGAGATCAACTTAGGCCAACAGGCTGGAGTGCTGAAGTAGGAGGAAGGGCTTGATGTTTATCACTTCCTTGACAAGTAGAGTTATATGGAGTAGAAAAGGTCTTTTTCTAGGATGACTCAATTTTCATCTTCATCTAGAAATCTGATTGTTGTGTTTCTCCTTTGCATAGCAGGGAAAAAGGGCTCTCCCTTTATTGATGGGAAGTTATCTGATGATCAGTGAAGCAAATGAAGTTTTCTGATATTCAGTGAAGCTCCTTGGGATGGGTGGAATATGACCTCTGGAATGTTAACCCTATTTGTGGACCCTAAAAATTGTTAGGCTTATACAAGGGATCTTCAGAAAGTTCATGGAAAAATAGAATGAAAAGATACTAGAAATTTTCCACGGACATTTTAAAGCCACCTCAGATGGGATGAAATCCAAATTCTCTTCTTAGGATGATAAGCTCATAAATACCAATTGAGACCCAATCAAGGGTTCCTAGTAGGTGGAAGATGAGGCTTTCTGCTCCCGTAGGGTTTATAGCCTCGTAAAACCTACACAAGATTGCTATGAAATGGAACCATCTTGACAGCACACAACAGTAAACAGACCCCAATAGTTACCGACCATCTCATTTAATCACACTCTGGTGCTGAAGACTATGCTACCAGGATTTCAAATACCAGCAGGGTCATCTGTAATGGACAGTTTTCAGCAGACTAAGACAGACTGGCAAGAAAGACCTGGCAGTCTGCCTCAGACAGTTAGCCAGTGAAACCCCTATGATCACAACAGAATTTAGCTGAGTATCGTGTTGGAAGATGAGCCAGCCTCTCGGTTGTAAGATAGGACACAGTGGCCACAGCAGTGGATTCAAACATGCCAACAACCATGAAGATGGCACACGACCGGGTAGCACTTAATTATGTTGTGCATGTGGCTACCAGGAGTTGAAGCTGACTCAACAACAGTTAACGATAACAGGCTTCAATAGATCATTTCTTATCTAATGTGTTGCCTGGAAAAGACTGACCAGCAAAATATTGGGGACCATCAGAGAGAATTTTGAAAACAAAAAAACCATCCTCCTCCCAACATCCAAATTCAAGGATCCTACACATAAGTTGCAAGGTCAGTAGTTCGAATCTACCAGTCGCTCTGTGGGAGAAAGATGAGGCTTTGTGCTCCCATAAAGATTTACAGCCTCAGAAACCCTATACAAAGTCGCTGTGATTTGGAACTGAACAGCACGTAACCACTACCACCACCACCACTGTCAGCATTTATTGAATATTAGTGGATAATAGTGTGTCACAGAGTACCTTGTATCTACCATCTGGTCCACCATCTTGTAGATATGGGGCATCTGTTATGACCAGTATGGCACTTAACAGTAACACTTAACAATAACAAACCAGAATGCCTCACAGAGCTCAAGGATCCCTAGAAAAGTTTCTCACCCATACATTTTTGGTCCAACTTTCCTTCCTTTCCTCTTTATAAAGAGGGAGGGGACAGAAATAGCTCTTCTTGGAGGGCCTGATTGCATAAACTCAATACAAAAGTTTCTTCTTCTTGGCTGACCCAGTTTTGTGGAAAGCAAAGTGTTTGTGAAAGCTACCAGTCTCCTGAGTTCAGAATATGAGTATTGAAAATGGAATGAAGTGGGGATGATCAGCCATGGCAGACTCTGCCTTGAGAAGCGGTTATGGCATGGACTGGGGCAGCAAGCTCTGGAGGTCTCCTCTGCCAAAATTTATAGCATCATCCATGGGCCATTCAAAATGATCAACTTAAAAATTAGCCTGCTATATTTGGTCAGACATTTAATTAACTCACCCCTAATGTGATGGCTGGAACTGTGGTTGCCTTGGCAGGACCAGAACAAATGATTTCATAGGCCTTATATGGCTCACAGGCTGGACTTTTCCCCACCCTTATTCTAGGATCTCCAGAGTCACTTTCAGCTGGCAGGTTGTGTCCAAGGGGGCATCCCCTGCTCTCTTCAAAGGCACTGGGAAGTGAGGGAGTGATGCTCCTATCCCTCAGGGAGTATACTGATGGATTTTCTAGCTTTACTTCTAATTCTACCCACCTAGTCTAAATCTCAAACTTAGTCAAAGTGGAGCCCTTGTGAATATTGGCAGTTCAGATGGCTGCTGTAGGTTCCACATTGATTGCTTCTAAGTGGTATTAGCAGCAGGGGAAAAGTGAGAAAGCCTGAGGAGGAGCTGGGGAGTGCAATTAGGGGCATCCATGGCCAGCCTGCTGGTTTGGGTTCTCCTTAGTCCTTGTCCTTGACCTCGTAGATGTACTCCTGGTATTGGTGTTTCCCAAAACGTTGGAGAGGTCTGTTTATCTTAATAGAGGAGTTACTTCTTTCCTAGAAGTTGACGGAGTAGGTCATTTTCCTACTCGGTTCCAGGGATCTCTACAAGGCACACTCTGAAAATATCTCAAACCACAAAATTGGTTGCTTTGGGTCTGTGTGTGTCGGTGGCACTTCCCTCTGCTCTGCTGTTGTCTGCCTGCTGCCGCCCCACTCACAGGCCCTCCTGAACTGTGAGTAAGTGTAGCAGAGCAGCCAACTTCGAAGAAGACTGCTAGTAAAAAGGGCAAGGCCTTTGGTGCCTCAGCTCCCGCTGTGGAGGTTGGTTTTGCAAACTTCCCAGGAGAAATGCTGAGTGTGTGGGAAGCTGGACACTGTCCAGGTGCACCACATAAATGAGGTCACCTGAAACCCACAGGCAGATTGCCCAAACACGAGAGCTGCCCTGTTTGCTCCTCACAACTGTGCTGTCGAGGGAATGTTGTAACTGCAACTTGAATTCTCCAAATATTTGACAGACCTTCCAGAATACTTCAGTTTATTACTAGGACTTTTCCATGGTGTCCCTTGGTGTTTTCTTTTTCACTATTCAAATCTCTCTTACTTTCCAGACTCTGTAACAACAGGCTTAATAGGATCAAGTTCTTGCAGAAACACTTAGGTTAGGAGAGTTCTCCTTTGGTTTAAACACTCCCTCATTGTTGTTTGTTGGAGGTACTTAACTTGTCTAATAGGATTGTTTGGATACTGGTATCCCTTTTAGAATATTCTCCTCCTAACCCTTGGCCTAGAAATCCTGGTGTGGTGCTGTAGGATCAGCACTGGACTGTGAACCACAAGGTCAGCAATTCAAACCCAACAGCCGCTCCTCAGGAAACCCTACATAGATAGGGTCACTATAAGTCAGAGTCAACTTGACAGTACTTAACAACAACCACCCATTGGTCTAGAGTCCTGATGAGATGCTGTAGGATACATTGTTGTTGTCGTTAGGTGCCATCGAGTCACTATCAACTGATAGCGACCTTATACACAGCAGAACGAAACACTGCTCCATCCCAGGCCAACCTCACTGCTGTTGCCATGCTTGAGTCCATCGATGCTGCCACTTGGCCAATCCATCTAGTTGGGGGTCTTCCTCTTTTTCTCTGACTCTCCACCTTACAAAACACGATAGCCTCCTCCAGCTAGGATACATATAGGACTCTTTAATTGCAAGGCTAGTGATTCAACCCCACTAGCTGCTCCTCAGAAACCCTGTATAGGGTCACTATGAGTCAAAATCAACTCAGTGGCACTTAACAACAACCCCTTGGCCTAGAACCATTTTCTCATCTGTCAAAATCTGAGGAACCCTCAAAGGGCCAGGTTTGGGTGTGGCACTGTGGGCTAATGCGCTGGATTGCAAGGTCACTTTGAACCACAAGGTTGACGGTTCAAGTTGACCAGCTGCTCCTTTGGAAACCCTACACAGGGTTGCTGTGAGTCGGTACCAACTTGACAGCATTTAGCAACAACAAAAACCTTCCTGTTCTGGTGTGGCGCTGTGCGTTAATATGCTAAACTGCAAGGTTGGCAGTTCAAGCTCACCAGCTGCTCCTTGGAAACCCTATTCAGGGTCACTATGAGTCGGAACCAACTCAATGACACTTAACAACAAGCACAGCCTTCATGGTACACAGCTATGATGCACAGGTCTCTGAGTAACTAAATCCTCCTTTCTTCACATTATGAGAGTCTTCTGCTTAAATATGCCCCCAAAAGTAGTTGGGGGTGGAGTCAGGGGAAAGGATTGTTTTAAGGAACATGAAAGCAGATTACGTCCTTGTGTAGTAAGTGTGTGTATAAGAGGAGAGGCAAGTATAGTCCTTGTGTCTTGTCCCTAGATTTTCTGTGATTCAAAGTTCATCCTACCCAGAATTTTAATGATGGTGCAACTCTCAAACCTCCATGTCCATTGTCCCCTCCCCCCGCCTTCACAAAAACACAGAAGTACAAGAAATTAAAAAAGTACAGTTCGACCTCTTCCACTTCTCTGCCCATACAATGTATATATATATGTGTGTATACACATACACATGTGTATCTTTATCTTTTAACATAATGGGTTCTTACTATATATGTTCTACCTCTTTCTTATTTGTTTGTACTTATATATCATGGAGATCTTTCCATCTTAGCCATATGTATTTATATCACTGAAATGTTTTTACTGAATCTCTCCAAACAGTGATTTAAAAATATCAAGTGCCTGTTAGCTGCAAAGTCAGCAATTCAAACCCACCATCCACTCCGTGGAAGAAAGAGGAGGCTGCCTGTTCCCATAAAGATTTGCTGCTCAGAAACCCAAAGGAGCAGTTCTGCTCTGTCCTATAGGGGGGGTCACCTTGACGGCATGTCTAGCAGTGCCTTGCATGGCTGCCTTGCATGCAGTCTGCCCCGGTACTGTATGAATTCTTGCCTCATTGTCTATACATCATGTCTGAAGTCTTTGACACTCACTATTAGTCTATTCACGCTAGCCCTCTGGAAAAGCGCTCATTGACCCTGGAAGTAGTGAGTAGGTCACAGGGATTCCTGTATGCACTGTTGCTCGAATCATCATGGAAAGCCCAGAACCGTTCCCTACAGTCTTTCCAACTAATCACTACCTGACCCGAGTGCTCTTAGGGGTCAAACTTAGTAGTAGGAACCATGGACAAAAGCTCACTGAAGTTTTATGGAGAATGCTCTGGTCCTTGATAATGAGTTGATTTGTAAATGTGCTTAAAGCAAGAAAAGTCTTAGTCACTGGTCAGATGAAACCAATCTCTCTTCTTTCCACCCATGAATCAGCCTGATTAACAGAGTTACAAGCACTTACAATAGACTGTTTGGGATACCACAGGAAGAACTGAGACCCATTGAGTCTGTGTGGATCTGATCTCCTCAAGTAAGCCTTGGGAAAGGAGTACTGGGAAGGCAGGAGTTGCCATACAAGTTCTTTGAATGCCCAAAATGTCGACTTGGTGTCCCAAAAACCCGTAACAAGTAAATTCAGTTCAGGTTCAGAAGCTAGTCATAGGGCTGCAGGCAACGTATTGGATTGGCAAGAGAGCATGGGTACACTGCAGAAGTGGGTTATGGACCAGCAGCATACATACCATTTTGATGTAGAATATGTTAGGCCATTGAGGTAGCAAGGGCTCACTCAGGCACGGCACTTGGGTTGAGGAAACAACTTTTCAGGTGTTATCTTTTGGTAGGTAAAGGTCTAACAGTAAAAGGATCACACATCTTTGGTCTCTAGTCAGAGAACATATATTTGCATTCTGGACAGGCCTGGACGTTTCTAGGAGCAGCCCTGCACCTAGTCATAACTCTATGAATGCGCTACCACCTGCACTGACAAGATGGGTTTCCTGTTCAAGACCTGCCTGTGAGAGCAGAACTCAGCAAGCTGGAGGGCCACAGGAAGGAGGGGTCAGGCAAGCCCAGCAGAGCTCATCAACATACAAGACTTTACTAGGACTCAGGAGCCCTGGTGGCACAGTGGTTAGGTGGTTCCTTGGGAGAAAAGATCTGCCAAGGCACTCCCAGAAATATTACAGCATAGGAAGCCCTATGGGGCAGTTCTGTGTCTTACAGGGTCACTATCAGAAACCTGCATACCAGCAACTTCAAGGGAGGACCCTGTAAAGGAATAGTATTAAAAGGGTCTGTGTCTCCTTAATATTTGGACTGGTCCAAATTAAAGATCCTGTAATCCAGTGACCTGGCAAACTTTGATTTGTATTCAGCCGTTGCTTTTTAAGGCTAATGAGTTCTTTTTGTTATTCAGGTCTTAGAACTGCCTTAGTTTTTAGTGATGCTTTTTGCAGCCAGATAGGAAAACATGAGATTTTTGTTTGATTGCTCTATCCACTGTCCCCTTCTCTCCAACCTGCCCCCCTCCAACTTTTTTCCTCTTCCAGGATGATCCAAGTGCTCCCCACAAAATCCAGGAAGTTCTCAAGTCTTGTCTGAAAGAGGAGGAGTCCTTTAACATCCAGAATTCCATGTCGCCCAAACTTGAGGGTAGCAAAGGTGACCAGGCTGACTTGGATGTGAACTGTCTGCAGAATAACTTAACCTGAAGAAGAGCAGGAAGAAAGGAAAAAGGGGGGGGGAGGGGAGGGAGGTGGGGTAGGTTGAATGAAGTGTTATCTCCTCTTGTACAAAGTCTGTTTCTTGTAACCATTTGTTAAACCATTTTCTTTTTCTGATCTCATGGCATGCTTTGATGTATTTTGTACAGGGTGGGGGTGGGGAGCAAAGAAGCTGAGTGTACTTGCACACACTGGATTGTTTTGTCTGCGCCGTCTGTACATTGCTATGCTGCTGTGATTTCTAACCCTATGCTATTATTCAACTGACTTTTTTTTTGTACTTTGACCCGCCTTTTTTTGAGATACCAGTAAAAAAGTTCTTGAAATAAAACTTTTAAAAAAGTGATCCCTTTTCCTGTGTCGGTTTGAATTGCATTCTGACCTTCATTGAAGATGCATTTCAATGTTTGAAATCCTAGAAATGGTTTATATATTTGACTATTAAGAATGCTCTTTTGCTCTTCCATAAATATGTTTTTCAACACTTAACTCTGAATACATGCTGAGAACACTAGATGAATACAATAGATCTTGACCTCAAGATGTCAGTAATCTGCTTAAGAAACAGATTTATAAACAAATAATTGTAATAGTGTGTCACTATAGTAGTAAAGGGAGAAGACACAGGTAGGCAGCTAGTGCTCTATATGACTAGAGAGTGTGTGAGAGGGAGGGCCCTAGGTGGCCCCACTGTGAAGGGTGAGTTACCGAAGATGATGAAGAACCCTGAGGCCCAGTTAAGGATGGTCAGGTTTATATTCTAGAATGCCTTTGGAGATATTGGTGAAAACAGGTTTGAGTACGGGGATTGTAGAAATCCAACAAATAATACCATGACACATTGCGACTCTTCTTACAGGGTTTTCAGAGAGTGCCTGGCAGCTTTGAAACACTAACCTTGTGTTTAGCTGTAAGTGTTTGTCCTACAGCACCACACCAGAAAATAATAGAAATGGATTAAAAGAACTAAAAATTCAAATAGCCACATTTGCTGTCTGGATTGAGGGTATCTCCTCGATTGCTTGTGTTCATTCTATGAGAATTCCAGTCATTTGCAATCCTTGAGTGTGTCTCTGTTGCCTCTTTCTGATCTGTCTCATGTGCCTCAATTTTTCTTTTGTGCTGAACGTTGCTTTAAAAATATTGCTCAATTGGAGGCCTAGCCTAGGATGTTTGCTTCCTCTAGAGAGGGTGGTTTTTGTTTGTTTTTCTTTATTTCTCTAAGGTGCCTGGGGACACTAGAATTCTGGGCTCACCTTAATTCATGGTTGAAGAAAGTCTGGGCTAATGAGGAGGGCCACACCCTTCTAGGGCACAGTTGTCTGGGGTCACAACCCAAAGCAGACAGTGATCCATCAATTTCTCACCTTTGGTGGGCTCTATATTCTAACTCACTCACTTCTAACCTTGTAAGACTTCCAGAAACACACCTTCTCCTTTAAGCCGCCTCTTCCAAATGGTCCAGTGCATCAATGGCTCTGAATGCCAGTTCCCTTGACTGGACTCCTGTCCTCAATGAGGTGCCAACCTAGTCTTTCTTTAGTATCTTGTTAGCTGTTTGATGATTTTTAGGTATCTGTATAGTTTGGAGGGTTGTCCTTAGTGGAAGAGTTGGTGCAATTTATCTAATCTCCCATTTACTGACAACAGACATCCTCTGTTTTCATTTTGGGACTCTTGCCCAGATGGCATTCAGCTGGCACCAAGAACTCAGTCTGCTTTTTGATGTTGGATAGAACTATATTTTGGGGTGCTGGGTTCCAGTCTGTGTTAATTATTTTCAAATCACTCTCTTTGGTGGGAGGGGTCATGGGGTGGTACTATTGGATAAGGTCTGTGGTTCAAACCCACAAACTGCTCCTCTGACTCCTTCTACAAAATAAAGAGGAATTGTGTAAGACTTGCACTTTGTAAGTTCTAAATCCCTAAGACTTGTTAGTATTGTGGTGGGGTGTTTTGTTTTTTCACTTTTATTGTGAACTGAGTGAAGGTTTACAAAACAGGTCATCAGTCCCACGTTCAACAAATCGTTCACTTCATGTCATTACTATGATTGCAATCCCCTCCATGTATGTACCAGCAGTTAACAGTATTTAGCTCTTCGTTTTAATTCGTGCACTCCTCCCTGTCTTTCACTACCTTCATCTTTCCTGTGCCAGCCTCCCTCTTGTTGTATATTGCCTCCCCATCACCCAAGTATTGTGTTTTGTTTTTCTCACAAGGAGTAGTTTGAAATGCAGGTCAAAGCCTTTAGCTCAATCCTACCCTCCTTCACATGCAAGAGGGATAGGAAAACCAAGATCAGAAAGGGAACAGGAAGACAGTAAGGGGAGGCCTAGAATAGAGTTACCAGATGTTGCCAAGAGTCTTTGGTCCAAACAGGCTGAAGTGTTGGATATACTGATGTCGATCTGTGGCCAGCCCTCCTTTCTGCAAGGGGTCTGTGCTTCTTAATGACTGTGATCCCTCGGGCTGGCCAGCATCCTCTCTAGGGACCCGCCAGTTCACTCTTAGTTTCCTCTCCCTCTCTTCAGTGATTGCTGCTTGGATATTCCCACTTAAGCACCAAGGACTTTAAGACAAGTATGCTCTGTTTTCCTCTCCTGTCTGCTTTTTCCACCCCATACATAGCCTGCTCTGTGACCCTCCTCTCTTAAAAAAGGGACAAACTGAAAACATGGAATCTTAGGCAACATGGAGAAAACATCCTTTGGGGAGCCCATCATTTCGCTTAGGAGAAGTGTCCATACATTGTTGACCCATCTGTCCACACAAGGCCTCTCCTTTACTCATGCTTCACACCTTAACCACTTACAGCACACTTCCTTCCTTATCTGTGCTGTTGTCATGGTCTTACCGGATCCTTGGAGGCTGGGTCTCTGAACTGGGAAGCATCATTGACAATGTTAGAACCCAGACTTTGTACTTCTGTTTCAGTGCACTTTCTCCCTGCATCACATCACATCACATCACATTGTAGATATTTGATTAACAATTTTTCTGTCTTTTTCTCATACAGTCTACAGAAGTAAAAAGGTTGGCCTGCACTCCAAAAACCAGCACTGAGGACAGCTAGAGGTTTCCTGGGCTGCGGAAGTCTCCAGGATTGAGATGAAAGCAGCAGGGAAGATGCAAGATTTGAAGAGTTGGGGGGAAGGGGGTCTGACAGTCAGTCAGCACTTAGACTGGCAGTATGACCAGGCAAATACCAAGGTTTTCCAAAGTCCATCCTGTCACTGGATGGAGCTCTTCCCTGCTGTAGGTACCCAAAGGAAAAGATCTCAGGTGTTCTCAGTGGGTTCCAACTCAAAGCAATCCTGTGGGAGCAGAACACCTCATCTTTCCCCTGTGGACTGACTGGTGGGCTCGAACTACTGATGGTGTAGTTATTAGTCCAGTGCTTATCCTACAAAGTCAAAGCACTCCCAGTGTACCTCTTAGCATCTAGTATAATAGGTAATCTTTGAGTCTAATTGGTTTCTTGTTCAATGTAAGTAGTCTCTGATCATCTGGAAAGAGATGATCAAATACAAGTTAGGAATATAAAGTAAGAGTAATTATTTGGGCACTACTCAGAGTCTCTATGAAAGGAACTAGTGAATGGCCAGCCAGATGAGGCACAATTACTTTGAACTTTTGTGAACAACTTTGGCAACAGAAGGTGGCCTGGCAGAGCAGTTTCACATAGGTGACAGGAAAGGAAACAGCAAATGTGTCCATCTAGCCTAGTGACAAGCATACCCTCTTCAGCTCCACCCACTAATAAGAACCAATACCACCTGATCAACAGCAACCTAAACTGAGGTGCATGAAGGAGAATGAGAACAGTGCACACGCTTCTGTTCTGTAAGTCCACACACAGGAGAGAGTAGGTGAGAGCTGAAGAACATAACAACATGCAATCATCAATTAAATACAAATATGACAATCCCACAGTGCCCCAGAAAAAAACAATTTTAGCTCACAAAGAAACTAGAGAATGGTTCAAACAAATGACCAAGATGCAGAGCCAGAAAACACTTCTGAGGAAGAAAAGGTAATGGAAATAACAAAAAAAAAAATCAAAAGAATGATATTTAGGGGAAATTAATCATGGGCTAGAGGGTAGACACATGTTAACACGGGTGACAGAAAAGCAGTATGCAACAAGAGAGGGTGGTTAGCTGAGGAAAGGAGATAGGAGACATGGAGAAATGCAATAGTTGAAGTGAATAGAGGTAAATACTGTTAACTGTTGGTACATGGAAGAGATTGCAATCATTGTAATGAAGCAAAGTATATGATTTGTTGAATGTAAAACTTACGATCTGCCCTGTAAACTTTCACTCAATCCACAATAAAAACCTTAAAAAAAAAAAGAGCATTTCAAGGTCTATCTTGAAAGTGCAGTGTTATCTGTAATAATCTGCTCTGTAAACCTTCACTCAATTCACAAAAACAGGTTTTAAAAAAACAGCATTGAACACTGGTTTCAGAGTTACAAGTCCTCTCCATTTAGGAGCTTTGTGACCTTGTTGAACTTTAGGTTCTTTTAGTGCAATGAATGACTAAATATGGGCATTCTAACCAAACATGATCTTGTAATTCCCATTACAAGTACTAAATTGTACTATGCAAATAAGGTATGCGCGGGGATTGAATAGTCAGCTAATGCAAATGAGGTTCATGAAACCCTTGTAGAGGATTGGTTGGTTTGTGGTCTTGCTGGGGGATGGCATGCCTTGAAATCAATAAGGAGTTTGCTTTATAACCAGCTTATCTGAAAAGTTTTAGAAGAGAGACATAGAGAAGAAAAGAGTTGTAACACTGAAGATAGCAAAAGACATTTGTACAGAGGTAACAAGAGCAGAAGCAGCATGAGATGTTTGTGGTGGAGCTTGCTGTCCCACAGAGCTAAGAGCTGTAGCACTTGCCCAAGAAGACCCTGACTAGGGTCCAGTGGCAGAAGGGCCCAAGCTGGGCTGGGTGGCAAATGACAAGAGGATGTT